CCCCAGTAATGGCTAACACCTGCGCCCCTTTCTATCGGAACTTTTGATCGGGCAACTTGAAAAGAGATTCGAGTAATTGCTGTTTGATCGGTAACACTCGTCGGATCTAGCATAGGGAAACGAGTTCGATTTCGCGCTTTGGAAATTCATCTACGCGCGTAAGTGTTCGGTGGATCGCGAACCGCGGAAATCGACGAGCCTACAAAGAGGCGAACGCTGCGAAAATCTGTTTCGCATTTCTGTTGCGAATTCGATGGCAGATCGAGTAGATTAATTACGTTTCGTCGATTCGATTGATCCGTTGGACTTCGAGATCCACTGCTTGGCAAGGATCTCGCATAGAGAATGGAATCGAGTGACTGTGAAACTGAGAAATTAAGCCTTCCACCGGTCACTGGTACCGCCTCGTTACCTTTGACGAACGAAACCGCGGCCCAATTAGAACGACAATGCTAGTTCTCGAGTAACCGAGTAAGTCGCGGCAATGAAACGTTGCCTTTTCTCTTTTTCCCCGAGCTCGAGGAGGAAAAGACCTGCCCTCTAAGATCGCCCGCGGAAAGTGCGTGCACGTTGCCTACGACCTATATTCGCGGCGGGTCTCGCTGATTGTCACGAAGCAAGTGTGCAGACTAATCGCGAACTACGAGCGAAAAAGCGGACTGTGTTGAAAAGCGGGACAAGTATAATCACCGGATTTGGGACCGGTGGCGCGGAAAGGTATCGCGTTAATTGACTCGCGAACCTCGAGGAAACTGGCAAGAAGAAAGGTGTGCGCGATAGGTAGCAACGAGTCGGAGATTCATACGGACGGCGCGGGTCGTGGCGAGAATCTGCGTGCAAAATGTCCGGGTCAAAGCGGAAGTTGTGCCCGCGCAAGTTTCGCGAAGGATGAACACGAACCACTTCCTCTCTACTTTACCACGAGATACTGTCTTTTCGCTTCTCCTAAACGCTTTGATTGTACAGAAAAACGAGCTACATATAACTGTGAGAAACACGAAAACTGGCCTCGTAACTGTCCAACACTGAGAACCCACGCTATGCTGTCGTATGTGTTCAGTGTGCACTGCTGTTAATACGCTGTACTACCATGATACCGTGTTTACGGATGTGACAAATTCCACGAGCTCAGTTCACGTACCGTCCCTGTCAGCAGGCAAGCTCCACCCCCGAGATACGGTTTTGCCGAATTTTAACGAATTTACGTAACCGAAGGATCTTCCCTGCTGACACGTCGGACCAATGATCTTTGTCGTAACAACGTTCTTTCCCCTATCTAGGTGTCGCAACTGACCAAACTGCAAGTATACGCGTGTACCGTATACCGTGACTCCACCACAGTCGTACTCTTATCCTCCTGCCCTCTACTCGATAGTATTACGTGCCCGTGTTATATGTAACCACCTATTCTATGTATCTATATTCTATGCCATATCTCTATTTGTACTTTTCCAACTGCAGTGTGTGGTGATTGGTGACCTGTGCTGTACTTGTGTTTACAGGCCCGCAGCGCCAGTACAAGTAGCTTTAGAAGCCTGAGCCAGGTACATACCAAAATGACATAATCCACATATAGCTGAGAAATTAGTGATACTAGCTACTTTAGCTGGACATAGCTAGACACTTAGAATCTAGACACTATTTGCTCGTACGTAGATGCGTAGAGCACGCGCGTTTCTCGTGTTCCAGTTTTGGAAACCCGACGATCAGTCCGGTTTACGTTCTACCACGGTACGATTACGTTCATGATCGTCGAATGATTAGCGTCGAAAGCGAGACGTACAAACGGCCCGCGATCCTTGGCCCACGAATAATCGATTACGACCATAGACGACGAACGCTTTATCACGGGACAGTGCGAAACGGTAGGCTGGACTATGACACGGTTTAGAGATCGTTCTGTTCTGTTTGTGAGAAAACTGTCCAACGGTAGTACACGGTCGTTTATGATACTGTGCATGCTGCCGGTTCTGTTATCCCACACAGACGCAGGAGTGCCGAATGAAGCATGCCACCCACACGCACACCCTTTGTCTTTGTACGTGGTAATCCTCAACCAACACCGAACGCCAGTCAGTAGAACATGCATGTCTTTCTCCCGCCTGCCTCACCTTAGATCACTCGTCTACTCGTGCATCCCTTTCTTTCTTAATCTTTTTTTCTTTCGCTCACCTTCTTCTTCTTCTTCTTCTTCTTCTTCTTCTTCTCGACACTATTCGCGGGGATTCTCGCGCGAGGAGCAACGTAAGTATACGAGAAACCGTCCGACCGCGATACGACCGGCATTGCAAGTAGAATAGCAAGTTTTCCGTCGGACGCATTGCAACTTTGCAGACATCGCGTGGCAGATATGTTGGAAACGAACGACGAACCGAACGAATGATCGATGCAGCGAATCGAAGCGTATTGTTCGCGACACACGGTTATTTACACGACGTGTTAATCCCGCAAATGGACTCGTAACGTTCTCGCGAGTAAAAGCAAAAGCGAGTCGAAGATTCGATCGTTGCGATGCTGGTGCATAACTGCACGATTTTTTCCCCACTTTTGGAAAGGCCCGCGACACTGTTAAGCGGATCGAGCTTGACGAGGACAAAGGAACCCGAGACGCGAGGCTTTCGCGTTAGCCGGCGTGTTTCATTATTCGTTCCTTTCGACACGAATTCGCTCTCAGCTCGTAATTTATTCTTACCTCGACTTTCAGTCATCGTTTGGTCCGCCCGCAGCGTTTCTCTGCGGCTTTGCATATTAATCGCGTGAATCGCGGGCCGCGCCTCTTCGGGCTATTTAGACGGGAATCGTTTTATCTCGAAGCTACTGGACTGCAATGCGAGCAGCGGGGCGTGGTGCCACGGCTGCGCTTTTCGACGTGAATCGAATCTTCACGGGATACCTGGTGTCGGCTCTGTCTCGAAAGAAACGGGACACGTGGGCGTCGGGAATGAGAAATTTTGCATTTCCTTGGCTAGAACATAAGCAGGTGTTATCGACAAATCGCTTAGGGTAGAAGGAAAGCGTTCCGTCTGTGGCGTCATCGATATTTCCCGTTGCATTTCATGGTTCGTCCACGGCTGGCCGATCTATCGTTTCCGGGACGTCGGGGTAGCGAGCAATTCCCCTTTCGGCCGATAAAATATACGGGCACCGCGGTACCGTCGAACCGGAAACGTTTTCGCGAACGAAGAGACCCTTTTGGAAACAAACGGGCCGAAAAAGCCCGTCATCGTAGATTAAGAGAAGAAAATCGGGTGAATGGCATCTTAGGCCCTCGTTCGGAGCACCCTTCTGACAAGTAGTCGTCGAATATAAAAGCAATAAGAGCGGCGACAAGAGCCTTTGAATGTAGCTGGGAAGGCAGTAGGTTTCGGTTGAGGATGGTTCGGGTTGAGAACACGACGATCGATAGCTCGGCTGCACCCCCGTCGTTGCTGTTGTCGTGGCCGTTACTTAATTATTAATCGTATCCAGCCGTTTCTAACTCCTCCATCGTAAGTGCAGTGACACGTTCCAAGGTCACGATTCTCCATGTTTATTCGCTCCTTTCCCACCTCTCTTCGTCGTACAAGCCTTTACACTTACCATCGCCATTACCGCGCGCGTTCCTCGCGTTAGCCCCATTGAAAATTCGAATAACGATATTCCGGAGTATCCCGGAATGTCCGGCGACTCTGTCTCGTGGAATGCAGCCGGCGCAGTTCCGGCATTGCTCCACTTTCCCTCGTAATTTTCACAGGCGAACGTGCACCCGTGAGTTGGCACCTGTTCCGCGCAGAGCGAACCGTCTTTTCCCACAGGAATATATCGGATATTCGTCACTCTCGACGACACGCGTCAATCTATCGATACGATTTAATCGACTGCTATTCCTCTTCGCGCATCCACGACTGCACGTCCGTTTATAACCGTGCCTACAAAAATTTCCGACTGCCTTTCGCCTCGGACGGGTACGTCGGTCGACGAGCAGCAGCGACGTGGAAAACTCGTATAAAACGTCGAGAATAGAAACGTAACAACATTGCGGGTATACGAACGGACACAATCCAGGTCGCAATTATCGTAATTGCTCTTCGGGGCTATACCTTTCCTTTTGTTTCTCCGAGTAACGAGTCTTAGCAGTCTTTCGCGACAAAACGCGCGTTTTAAACGATTTTCTCGCCAACTTTCAATGTTCCCGAGCAACTTCAACGGCTGTCGCTATTACGAGGCAACCTCGTAACAACTTACGCAGGGAACTCGACTTGGCCTATGTGTGTTCGACGACCTTCGTCGTGTCCATCGATGCGTCGTCGGGTCCTTTGAATCCTCCGTGCGTTTCTACGCGACCTACCAATCCTCCGGATCACCTACGGGGTATGGCTTTTCAAGGGCGGTTGCAGTCGGCCCCAATTATTGATCCTTCGAAAGCGGCTTCCGGGTCTCGCTCGCAAACACTCGGACAAAACTTGAGTGGGTGAAATGGCCGGGGCCAGACCTGGAACCGTGGAGTCCTGCCTGGAGAGAGGAGCGAGAGAGGCGAGTAAAAGGGAAGGAAGGAAGTCAAAGGGGCAAAAGCTGAAAGCGGAGCATGGCTGATGGGTGGCGATGGGTGTTTCTGGGCGTACTCGCCGGATCCTGAACTCCTCGTTCTTTCCCGTTCCCTTCAGCCAATCTTTCGGAGACAATTCCACCTTCCAGATTTTAAAATCGATCAGCATCTATTGCTTCGTCTACTTTCATCGGCCTGCCTCGACGTACGTTCCTAACCTCGGTAAATTACGTTAATTCCTTTGCAACCATCAACCAAACCCGACGATGCACGACGCAGGCTTGCAGCGTCCTGCAAAGGTCGATCCGCCATCGCGACGAATTTGCAGCCGACAAAAGCAAAGGTTCCAGCTACGTATGGTCGTTCTACCGACAGGTAGACGCGTACACGTTGTCTATAACCCCGATAAACCGGCTGATATATGCACACAGCGGAGCTATAAAGTATAGAGACCTCGAACCTTGCCGCGAGTCGATGCCCGAGTTGATCGAATAAGTGGCCTTCACGGAATTCTAACGCGAGCCTCCTGCACGCTCAGCGATTTGCTCGCCGGAGATCCTTGATTAATATCCCATACAAGTTGGCCGCTTTCGAGGAGACAGGAAATTATTAGGCGCGTGGAACGCGAGCGAAGCTCGCGAAATACCATTCGTTATCGCGAAAAAATATCCGTTCCAACGACACTGCTCGGCTTCCTGCTACGGTCGAGGATACGAACGAGCTTGCAGAGATTGCCGCGCGAATAATGGCCGTTCGCCGATTTCTCCCTGGTAGTCATAACTTACTTCGATCATCGTATCCCGTTGCATATCGAACGAGTCGATCAGCGTGTCTGGTCGTTAATCTTCGATCGGAGCGCGGAATAAAAATGGTCCTCTGGTACGATCAGCAAAGGCAACGTTTAATCGAGTACTTAATGATTTCGGTACACCGTGAGCAAACAAACGTGCGGGAAGAATGATGTCGGGCGAAGTCTCGTCGATCCCTCGTTCGCTTCTGACCCAAGTGAATAACGTGTACCCGGCTTTCTCCCGTGGAATTTCAATTTCGAGAGAGAGAGAGAGAGAGAGAGCCGCTGTCTGTCCACGATTAATGGGAGTATCGTAGGAAGAAAATACTGGCGTTCTTTTCACGCGAGACGGCGAATCCGCGGTCAGCTTAATCGCCAGTCATCATCTCCATGAATTCTGCAAGAGAGAAATTAACGAGGTTAATCAGACGCGTTCGTCCCTCTATGAACTTTATATCCAAAGAGGCAGAGGTTCGTATCGTGAGACGAGCCACCGTGATCTTAAATGTTATTGCAAAGTACCGGTCCTTTTCATTTCTTCGCCGCGCCAGGAGAATGTTTCTCCTGGAAAGCAAGTAGGTCGTATCCTTGCCCCTTTATACCATCCTTGCTCTTCTTTCCGTTCTTTTTGAAAGAAGCTTTGGAAAGCCGGTATTAAGATGTTCGAGGTTTAATCAAGCCCTCGTACGAGGCACCGTAACGAGCTCTATAGATCCGAAAAGCCGAGGAAAAACCGAGGAAAGAAGATCGCGTTGCCGATGTCGCGACCATTCGCGCGAATTCTTGCCGATGACTTCTCGCTGCCCGAGGCATTTACGCGTAATTAAGAGGTTCCAGGGTTTACGTAGACAGAACGGAGCGAAACGAGGACGCTGATGGGACACGACGGGTTAAGGAAACGAGATGCTCACCGTCAAAGTCAACAGTGCCAGAGCCGTCGGTATCAATTTCAGCGATCATGCCGTCCATTTGATCGGGTGTTATCTGATCATCCAGAGCTGCGAGAATCTCTCGCAGAGAGCTCGTTGGAATGTATCCGTTTCCCTCCTTGTCGTAAAGCCTGAAAGCCTCTTTTAGCTCCTTCTGCAGGGCCTCGTCGTCCTCCTCTTGGAAGTGGCAGGCCACCCGATAGAACGAGTCGAAATTTAATTTGCCGTTGCCTGAAAGCCCGACAGTGCACGATTAAAAAACCTATCTACAGATACCGCCGTCTCTCCGTGGCAATTCATCGACAGTGTAAACAAGCACCCCAACCTCCTTTCCGTTTCCGTTTCGCGGTCGCTTTTTGTCGGCGGAAAAATATCCGAGACGATATACTTGGTAGCCTTCCAAGCGGTTCCGTTTACGCGAGCCCGGGAATAAATTTGAAATTTATATCGGCCATCGAAATATAATGCTCGTCGATCGGCCTAACCCGATCCCGAACTCGAATCCCGAACCCGGTTCATGCCCGACGTCGGAAAAATTAGATTCGAATGGGACCTGAGCGAGAGGGGTATCCCGGGTCGATACGCAGTGGACGTAACGGGCGATATCTGCATAATAACGCGTGCTGATAACGCTAGAGCGAGGGACACGATGTCAGCCGCGAGCATTGTCTCGATTTCGGATGCAATTTGGCGAGCTTACGGTATTTCCTGCTGCCTGGCTCGGTGTCACGGATCGTCGTCATGGTTAAGTGGCTCTCGTTCGAGCGTTGTAAAGGCGGACATGGTGGCTAGAGCAATTCGATCGCGGCTTTCTTGAGCAACGTTACTTGCTCGTATCGTGACGGCAACCGCGGACTGGGTAATTTCTGCCTGCACGAAATACGGTTAACCCGTTCGTGTAATCGTGTTCAGCTTGCAAACGTTTGTTTTTTTTATAAGAGTCGAAGCGTTGGCAATCGAGATTACAAACGTACGTAATTTAACCGGAGGTATCGGGACCCGAATAAAAATACCCGTCTTTTCCACGGATTAGTCAAAGACGTAACAGAGGCGCACCCCTTTGCCGCGAGTACTTGACCGAGTGCTTGGCCGAGTAACCGATACATTTGGATTAGCGAGCCTTTTTAATCTTCCTCTCGGATATGCACGCGTGGGTGAGGATCCTTTGAACGACGCAACGTCTAGAGTGTGATTTGTTCCAGCGGGGGCTCCGAGTCGATATACGTGTATGTACGCGGGTGGTGAAATACGAAAAAGTAGGCTGAAGGAAGAGACTGCCTCGACCCAATTCTTTTTTACCGTAAAAAGGAACCCACGACGAAACTCCACGCAAGATATCTCCGCGGAAATCCTGAAAGGGACCATTCTTCCTTTTGAGAAACTAGTCAAAGGAAATCTCGAGGTAGATATCAACGTATGATATCCGCCGTTTGAATAAGCCTGCCGATAAAAGGGGGGTGGCGAATCGTCGTTAACGTTTCGCTTTCGATTACTTTGCCTTCGTCGAGCTTAAATTGTCCATAGCGATCGGCTGGAAACGTGAGCGGGGAGGTAGAAGCTAGGGCTGGTATAGGTGGAGCTATTAAAATTGATTAGGAGGACTAAAATGCCGAGCTTCGTGATACGAATAATACCGAACCTCTCGGCTAGAAAAGCGTAGGAAAAGTTTGCGCGTTCGCGTCGTTCAGCTTTCGTTACCTTTGTAAAACGCGTGCTTCCCCGTGTTTCAGCCATTATATCATGAATTATTTGGCCCCGTTCGGTCGAACGGAGGCATCGATCCACGGAGCAGCGACGTCGGTCCAAAAATTGCTATAACACTCGCGAGAGGGGAATGGAAAACGGCAGATTGGTCCGAATGGACGCGCGTTTCGAGTCGCTCGCACCCCCGAAATCCGAATTTGCCATACCTTCTTCGTCCTCTTGCTTCAGTAAAACCTCCAACTCGTGATCGTCGAAAGTGTGCCCCAGGGTGTTGAGAATCGTTCTTACTTTTTCCTTCTCGATCCGGCCAGACTTTGTCGAATCGAACATGGAGAAGGCTCTCCTGAGCACTGTAAAATACAACGAATCTCCGCTCTTATCGCGTTTATCGTTTATTTTCCTGCTCGATGTGTCTCGAGAGCCGAAACGGATGACTTTGAGAATCGTTGGGCGCGGTTGGAAAAATTGTAGCCAGAACCTTGAGGAAAATTCGCGGAGGCGTCGTCACACCGGACTCGCGTATTTATTTACACGGTGTGCCAGCGGCGTGTATTAAAATAACGGGGCCAAGTCAATCAGCGGTTTATTTTGCGATACGGAGTCTCGGATTGCGCAACTCGTGCGCCGCGTAGAACCGTGACGCGTTCCGATGCTCCGTGGTGGAAGAACGGGAACGCGTGGGCAGTTGCGAAAAGAACGTAGGTAGAACGTTTTTAAGGAATTTCGCGTAAAAACGTGAATCACGATGGCCCGTTGTTCGGTCGTCGCCGCGATAAATCGATTCGATTTGGCAGAGCTTTCGTAATCCCGTCTGGTCCCACGTACAGGCGACAAATCTTAATGAGTAACCGTACCGTCTGAGGATCAGTCCTTTGAAGTTGCGACGCCTCGCAATAGCCGATGTAAAATGCAGATCAGCTGCGACCTAAATCTTAAACATTCTCGACCTTCTTTCCGACGAATAAACCATACTTGTTGACGCGTCCGGGGTTTAACTCGAGCGACAGCGTCGCAGTGTCTATTTGCGCGCGTGCAGAATTCCGCTCCGCTTCGTTTTCGCCAATTACCCACTCAGGTGGTCGGTCAACGCGGTTTTACTTACTTTTAACCTGTTCGTCATCCTGAAACAGAGAAGAAATAGAGTCTGGATATATTTGCGAAGCCTGTGTCGATAAAGCACGAGAGAAGCAGCACTCTTCGTTGGCCGGTATTCACTGTGGAAACGGCAGAGAGGAAATACGACGAGCAGCAACGGCGATAGAACGAATTTTGATAGAGTCTCGTTGAAATTTAATTCTCTGTCTGTCAATTACTTCCGATATGGAAAATCGATCAAAGAATCGCTGGCGTGGCGCCAAACTGCCCGATTTTCTGCCGTTTCGATACGGAATCCGCCAATTAATGCGTCTGCCTGCAACAACGTCGCACAATCGCCACTCGTTTCCACACTTGATTACAAAATAGACTAACCATCTTCGAAGGTGTGCGACAAACTGAACGCTTCTTCCGCACTAGTGGTTTATCCGCACTGAATATCTTTTATAAGCTCAGCTAGAACGCATGGAAGGGGAGGTGAAGAATTTCTCTCATCCCTTCCTGCGAACTATCGAAATTCACAGCTTCTCACAGCGCGGACAGACGACGCCAATTCTCGCTGCTATAATATTACGCTTCGCCGTGTAAACGGTTAACTAATGCGATCGAGAACGTTGCCTATCTCAAGGCCGTGTGTGCGTGCGGCGCGTGTGTACGCGTGTCGATTCATTCACCCTAAAATCTTCGACGTGTTCTGCCACTGCCCGCGAACAGACGCGTTCCACGCGCTCTTCTGGATCTGCCTTCGGGACGAATTACTTAAATCGGCTCGAAACCGAAGGCACACGGACAACGGGGTTATCAACGTCGAGACGTTCCGTTTCCAGAATTTACTAGGTGCAATAGAAAATGAAAGATGCGATCTATTACGCAAGCAGAGCATTATTTAAATTTACAGTTATACGATTGCTCTCTATACGGTTGGGAAGGCCTGCCAAAAAGTTTGAGGGAAAAGCAATAAAATTTTCGTACACCGCAAACGCGGTTGTAGGAGGCGGTGGAGAACATAGCGGCAGCAGCAGCGGAAAGAAGTGGGGATGCTGCTATTTCAAAACATTCCAGACTATGATACTACTGCTTTCCATTCAACCACCACATCGTTTCACGCGATATATCGTCGATTCTTTTTACCGGTTACTAAGAAATTTAATATCCCCCGAAATTCGCGAATTCGTGGAATTATTCTTCGAAAGAATTGCCCGGTTCTCGCTGTTCGCGCGATCGCGCGGAAACGGCCAGGCTTATAAACAAAAGCTGTATCCAACTGTACGTCGAACTATCTTCGCGGGATAATTACAATTCCCCTTTATATCCTCCGTTGAATTCGTCTACTACTATTTATTTTGATTCTTCCCTCGCGGAACAACTGCTCGCGCCGAGGATTGCGTAACGGTGTAACCTGACGCATGGCGAAGCGGCGGAAAGCTTTATTATTACGCGGCAACGATGGTAAACGACAGCAAAGTGCAGTTCTTATTGCGTTTTTTCAGCCCGCGTGTACCGGTGATATAGTGCTTTTCGTAAGAACGCGGTAGACGGCAAACGCTATAATTATCTTGTCAGTCCCACCCACGCGAGGCATGCCATCTCTCCACTGAATTATTATTTGAATAAACTCGCGATATTTTTAGAATGTCCAATACCAATTGAGTCATTCTATATTTATACCGCAGTCTACCTTACCGAGTAATTGGGCAGTCGGTCGACGAACTTGTTTATCCTCTCGTGTCGTTTAGTAGTTCTCACTCCGAGTCGCTCGTAATCTTTTATCCTCCTTCCCATCGGCTTTGATTTTTAAACAGCCACTTTGCACGATCGAGTTCCTTCTTCCGATTGCCGCTATCGTTCGCTCTTCCTCGTGACCTCGATCGAGGATCGCGTTATAGCTCGATCGGCAGTTCCTATGTATCGGCTGACTCGATTTATTCCCTCCCGGCGGGCATCCGCGCCATCGGAATCCGACTCGGTTCCAGAGATTCGAATCTGGTCGATTGTCCGTCACAGAGACGAAAGGGGTAGTTTGCACACTCCTCTCGTCCGTTTATTCCGCGATAACGATGATATTCGATTTACAGATTCGGCCCGCTTTCCATTGATCGCCTCCGCGATTGATCGCTTCCAGGGATCGCTCCCAGGGATCGCTTTCCCCGAAGGTTTTCAAACCAAATTGCACCATCGACGATCGTTTCTGTCTCTCTGTTTACCTTTTCCTCCTCGTTCCGATTAGTTATATAGGCAATCGTTATTCGGAGAAAGGGGGATTAAAAGTAGAAAAAGAGTATCGGGAGGAAGAGCTTTATCGGGCGAGTGGTGATCGAAGGAATAAAGGGAAACGCGTCGGATAATTAATTTCCGCGGGAAAGAGAGGCAAGAAACGAAAGCGAGACTCGGTCACACCGACGACTGAAATCTCGGAAATTAACCATGAATTATTCTATAGCGCGTGATTAGCAGTGAGCCGCGGACAATGGCGTCAGATGCATCCCGACCTCGAATGTTGACTCAACGTTTCCTCAGATTCTTCACGCGTAATTAAAGGTATTGTTCGTCCTGTGACCTTAGATCTTTATCTCTCCGAGGAAAAACGAATTTTTATTCGGATCAGCGAGAAAGGTAGGCGCCTCATTTTTCCCAGAGCTCGTTTCTCGTTAGCGGACGTCCGTATTTTCCCCGCCGTGCGACTGCTCCTGAACCAACGTATCGGAAAACCTTTGCCCGATTAAAACATTTCGCGACCGAGACACAGATTCGTTCCCAGATGCAATGACTAATTGCGGAATATGAACAGAAGGCTGGAATAATTACGAACCAAGGTTTGTCCTGTCCCGTGGATTCGAAAGGCACTTTGTATAGTTCAACTTGGATGCATACGCAAGTCGCATCGATTGCGGTCTCGCGACAGATTCTCTGTCTGAGAATGAGAGAAGATTTTTCTCTCGACGAATTAAAATTCGGACGATCGGTCAGTCTGCGTAAGTTCGTACGAACAGATGGAAAATGTAGATAGAGAGGTACAGACTGCATAGGATATAACTCCGTAAACGGGACGAAAGAGATCCATAAACGATGATGGCCCAGTTTCGCTTTGGGCCATGATAGCAAAGTGCGATCGGTAAACAACGTTATTTTGCAATTCCTGATGCTCACTTTGTCCGCATTCCGGCTGTGCTCGTAAATCCACGCGAACTTTTCCCCAGAGCGAACGCTATCGCTAACGACCGTCTTCGATAACGTCCCTCGAGTCGATGCTCTCTCGAATTCTGATGCTTCTGGCTGTATCGTCTGTTCCGACAAAAGATTAACCATCGTGGGATTGCCGTGAAACTGCTTTGCACTCGTTGCAGTCCAGTCGAAGCTCGATTCCGGGATCGTTTCGCGATTATTCCGCACCGTTGACGAGGAAAAAGAGAAGAAAAGAAACGTTCCAACGCGACCTCACTGACCACCGATTTAATTCGCGCCTGGTACGATAATCCAACGATTCGAACGATGCCGCGTTTCGATTAACCTCGAAATAATAATTGCACCGATTTGTTGACGGAACGAGCAAAGCGCGATACAAGTATCTCCGAGTGTCGGTTATCGATCGTGAAAAATCTAACGAGGATATTTTATTTCCGATAACAGGCTCGCAACAAACCAGCAGATGGAGTCGGCCATGTGAACCAAAAGGGCTCGACGGGTCAAAAAGCTCCGCTGGCAACCGGGCAAAAGGTGGCGCCTGGTGCAAAAGTTGCGGCGAAACCGACACAGAAACCCACTGCTCAGAAGGGACAGGTTAAGGTTACGCCTAAAGCAGCTTCCGTGAAGACTGGCAAGAACAAAAAGAAGGGCCAGAGGCAGCAGTACGACCTCATCGTCACTATCAATTTGGTGAGTAAGAACAACTGTCGACATTGTCAAGCGTCCACTGAGTCGCAGTAGAAACTGACGGCCGTGGTCAGACACGCCGCGCTTTACTCCAATACCGACTAGCCAGCGAGTAGTGGAAACGAATAGCGACTACCAAACGCGTCTGATCTGGATCTTTCGTCACCATTAGATGGTAGCACGGGTCTTGTCGTTAGGATACCTATGTCTTTATCGCGTTATCGTGTCTCGTATATTAATCTTCGTTTATTTATAAACGAATATAAATGAAAAGAATCACGGGTGATTTAACCTCCGCGTATGTCGTAAGCAAAAGGTTAATTCACTGACGCAAGAGCTACGAATAGGACGATCGAATAGAACGCAGAACGAGTATTCCATTATCTAAATTACCATCCTGTATCGATGCTTCTCAAATGTGTGACACCGGTATTTCTTTTTTCTTCCTTTCCTTATTTTTTTTTTTTTTTTTTTTTAACCAAGGTAGATACGAAACTCTCTCAAAAATATTCCTTGCGGTTGAGTTTCACACAACGAAGAGGCTCGGAGTGTGGGTGATTTTTCGTCGCGACGCTCCAAGAATAGTCTCAGACACTTTTACCTTCTCCCTGGAGAAATCGTATTCTCTCGAAGGAAAACAAACGCGAGTCTAACGAGTGTTGTCAATCGCGTTAAATATTATCGTTATCTCTCTCGAGCGACATGCCTGTAGTTCAAGCAACTTTACCCAACCGAGTTATGCAAGCAAAGGATCGTTCAAAGTTAGACTCTTTTGAATATATTGCCACGATGCTCATAATTGCAGTCGTTGTCCGCTTAAATCATGCGCGACGTGGTTGATTCAGAACATCGGCCAGTCAGGCTATTGGCAACGGACGTTGCGACAATCTTTCCCAAGGTGATGCTTACTCGAACAGTCTCGGCCAGGTGCAACGTGATCCCGCGTACAAAGCATTCGCATTCACGACCTAGGACGGGACCCGAGTTTTCCCCCTTTTTCGACGCTCGTCGTATTTTCGCCGATGCACGCCGTTTGGCAAAGTGACCCACCAACGCGAGCAAGTAGCCATTAAAGAAACAGAATGAACGAGCGAGGAGGACGAAGAGCGAAGTAAATAAAGAGAAGACTGCCAGCCAATCGTTGGGGACTACTGACAAGTTAAAAACAGCCGAAGGTTGTCCAAAAGCTCGCACCCGCTTTATCCTAACGCGAATAATACGACCGTAGAAAGTCACGAGTATCGGTTTCGGCGTTCATCGAGACAGACCGCTGATCAGGGTGGGGTCTTTGACTCGCCGCGGTTGATTTACGAACCGGAAGATGATTTATCGCGAGTGCGGCTTGGAAAGTGGGTGACAGTGAGAATTCGCGCTTGCACAGGCTGCACGTGACACGAGATTTTCGCATGATCGGGAGGGGAGAATCAGAATGAACTCGGGACGAGACGAAAGATCCACCGCCACCGACAAGCGGTGACGTTGCCGCTAGCTAGTCCATAAATATTATTTGTGTTCCGTCGCGTAGTCGCGCTAGTTCGATTGACGCGTGGCAGACTGTTCGCGCGAGAGGCGGAAATTTATTCGGACGGGGAGAAAAGCTCGAGCGAGGTTGGAATTAAAAGGCTTAGGCGAAATTAGAGAGAAGCGCGTCGTCGTCGCGACTCCGAAGAGGAGGAACACGGCTCGCGGGCTAGCTCGGTTCCCGGAGACGAACGTAAATTTAAGAGGTGCTTCGTACCGAGTCAGGTGCGGTCGTTGTTAATCGGTAAAATTAGTGGACGTAACGTTGCCCGACATGGCGGACACGGAGAAGAAATACACCACGGCCTATGGGAAGTTGCGAAGACTGACGAGCACCATAGACGGTCAAATCCGACAGATAAGCGTAAGTAACGCGATTCGCGTTGTCGCGATCTCGTCGACACCTTTTATCCTTTAGTTTCTTCCGTCGTTTCTAATTCGCGTTTAGCGATCGCGATATCAGCCGCGTAGTTGGATCTCGCGGCACGGTGTTCAAAGGGATCGGGTAAATATATAAATGTGGCGTCGACACGTACACTCGTAAAATCCGACTGACTTTTCGCGAGTTTACGCGAGCTGCTCTCGGAACTGCTGGAAAAGGACGTGACCCAGTTGAATACCGACTCTATCTACTTCCGAAGAGCTGCGAAGCATCGGAACAAGAGCCTTCGGCTAAGACAGGTCCGCTCGACAGATTCCTGTCTCGTTCCCACACCGCTTACGATTACACCTAGGGATATTCATAGACGTAATCCGTGAAAGTCAATTCGAAGCGACATTCCCGAAGTTTCCGGAATACCGAACTGACGACTTGTTCGTGCTGCAGTTTCCGACAGAAACTGACAGAGGACCGTGTGCAGCGACGCGAATAACGAAAGAGAACGCAGTGTCGATTTTACGTTATTTCACGACACTTAGAGTCCATATACGCGAGGTACTTGAAATACAACAAACGTTTATTTCGGTGGAAATTGCAACATCGTGGAATGCGCCTGTAGCTTATAGATCACTCGATACCTGACTCACGACCGAGCTTAACTAACCCGCACTGCTTATGGTGAGCTTCATTAGTGCTCGGTTCTAGGAAACTATTTCTAAGACGACCGTAGCAACCACAGCGTCGGGGGATTGGTTGCTCGGAGCACGTCGTTAAGCGATTATATTCAGCACGTAGCAATTGCGTCGAAAATTTTCATCTTCTCCACCATCCTGTCCTTTCTCCAACGAAACAACCGTCTCTTTCTCGGCTTCGTTCATCCGACGCATTCTCGCGCGACCCGATTACGTCTCATCGAATTGCCCGGATCGCCACACCTGATTATTAATAATCATGGTCGGAGACCTCTTCCTCGTGTTCCCATCGATGAAAGAAGCCGTGGATAAGCTTATCAGGCAATTGGCCAAAAGCTCGCCCAAAATGACGTACGCGTCGCTCCGTTGCGAGTCCGTCGATTGACGGATCGACGAGATCGGTATCTTCGGCGGTCCATTTTCCACGTGAATTTTAGCAACCTCGTTTCCTTCTTTCACTGCGGCATTTTATCCCCCAACGTGGACGTAAAGTGGAACGGTAACGCGATGATTCGAAGAAAATACGCAGCCAAAGAGGTATTCCTCTCGATGCTATTCGATTCAGCGGATAATCGTGCCTGTCAAAACGTATTTGGGGCATAAATAGTCTTACATTGGCAAAGTCCTTGGTACGAGAACAACCGTGCAAATGCCGATAGCGGTTCGCAGAATCGCTGATAAGTCAATGTTTCTGTAATCGCGTTAGCGGCATATGTTCCCGAATCCCTTGTCTATTAATGCTGATTTAACAATGTCGAGTACAGGCGCGTGTAGAAGGCGGATAAGCCGGAGCGGTATTAGCGCAGGTCAAGCTATTTGCAAGTTAGGACAGGGCCGTTAATTGCGCGAATTATGCGTCTCCCTGTCTAGCGCGTCTCTAACCGATCAAGTACACGATGAAAAGCAGCAGAACGAATTACGCTGATTTACTCGGCCAGCCTCGTCGGGACGGTCCACGTTCCTTGAATAATTTCGCAGTCGGAATTTCGGTTTAATCGTGATTTCCACGAGTCAAACGGCATTCGGTAATTCGCGTTTATCACGCACACCGGGTCGGGAAAGAATTAATCAGCCGATACGGCAATTACCGCGGAGAAAGTTATCCACCGTTAATTTGATCAAATTAATGAAATTTCGAGCGGAATTGGCAGCATTCTGCAAACAGGCTGCAGCGCGCGCTGCCGACAGCCACTGGTGCATGTTAAGTTTTGATGGGACATTACCGTGACGTTTAGAACGGGTTAACGATTCAATTAACATTGCTCGCTAACGTTGCTAAATTATAAAGCACTCTGACTACCCTCTAATCTTACTTACTCTGCGTCTTGTTTTCTTTTCAGTCTGAATATGGACTCACGGAGGATCAAGTGGCCGGTAAGTGGTAATAAAAAATGAAATTTTCCGTTTACCCCTGCCCACTTTCCGCATGGTAAAATCATTCGAACGCTTCGTTCCTTCGAATCGCGGATCGAAACGGAAACGCGTGGAATATTCATCGTTCGCTCAGCGTCGTGCTTCCAAAACATTTCGGCTAAATAACTCGAGTGACCGTGAACAGACGTGGACGCGTGGGCCACGAATTTTTCGCGTTCTCACCGATGAGCAAACGGGCTAAACACACGTATAATAGCTCGGTCACGGTACTCGCAAATTAGAACCGTTGACGATTTTCCCACTCGAAACGTCGGAAGCTCTGCTTCCCTTTGCGCGAATCTATCGTGCGGTTCTGTCCTGCTACCGCGATTAATTAATCCGTGCCACGGTGTGTTCGATGCGTGCTCGTTGAAGCCACGAAAAGATGAACTAATTTGTGAAAGTAGCTTTACGTAAGTATATATCATGTCACTCTCGCTGGTACGTGTTGCATAAAACATGGTTTCGGCCTCACGTGACCGCGATCATTGGCCTTGTGGTTGATTCCTCGGCGAGTAGGAGCTTTTAAAACGTCGCGGCGTATAAGTTTTTGCGATGGCACGCGAGCCAGAGATCACCGATTGCAACGTCGGGAAAACGACTGAAAGAGAAATTGCCCACTCGTTTATGCGCATTAATGCATCGTCTGGTGTTTACGTGGTGATAAACGCAAGGTGAATGCAGGCCGATCTATGCGGCAAACGATAAGATCAAACAGCGACCACGACGTCTAGGAACACGTATTTCCCGGCCGAACCACCTATCGCCCATTCCAACTATAATCTGCCGGACTTTTATGAATCGCTAGATTTGTTTCCTCGCGTGATTTATCGCGCCGCTAACGGAGCAATTGCTTGCTCTGTAATTAAACGGCGAACCGACGTTTACCGACTCCATTCTCCCGAACCGAATTCCATCGGCACGTCAAACGCAACGACTCTTGCAACGGCTCCTTTCTTTTCGCTCTCCTCTATTTTTCTAGCCTATCCCCTGACCCCTTCGCTCGTAGAAATCCAACGCGCAGATTTTCCGCGCAGAGAAGAAAAATCAGACGAATACGTTGCTCCCTTTCATTTCCATGTCCTTCGTGATTCCTGATTGTTCAACGTTCGGTTGAAAAATGCGAATGTTCGATACGCCGTTGTTATTCCGAGGTGGAAAGGCTGTATATGCAACCAGATACAAACACTCTTTTGATGAATGAATGCACGAAAGAAAGGGGACAGTAAATAGAGGAAAAGACTGGAATAAAAGGTAGACGCGCAACAATAGCAATGGATGTATTGTTTGGTTGGCTGTGCCGATGAATCAAACAAGACTACTTTAATGAACGCACGGTCTCGTAAACTATTCAGAATCCTCTTGTCGTGCACGGATTTTTAGCACACGGTGCTGGTCGGACGTAGAGGAAATTTATAACGGCGCATCTCTCGCGAGTTCGTCGTGGCTGGCTACTTGCCCGATGCTCGCGCGATCTCGGCTAGTTTTGCACGACTTGTAACGCGTGACCGAACATGCACACGTATATACACGCATAGCTACTCGTGATTAATAGACATCTAAATTCGCGAATTCTCAACAATGCGACGCCGGGCAAAAGCGTTTGTTGTATATCGTTTTATTGCCAAATCTCTGCCCAACTTTTTTCCCCCCGCTTAGTTTTTATTTACGGCTCGGTTGGAGGATCCCTGGAATTTCCGCCGAAATCACCGCATCGAAAACAGAGGGAGAAATTATTTTCGTGTTTCCGAACTCGATCCGGATGCATTCCAATCTCGAAAGTGCTGCAGAAAAACCGCACCGAAAGCGTATGGTGCTCGGTTCGTTTCGATCAGTTGCAATTTATTAAGGGAAAATGCAACGCGTCGAGCTTGACATTTGATCCCTCGGTAACGATCGTAGTTTAAGCTCAGCGAATGAAAATGATCGAGATCTTGACGTCGTGACCTAACGATTGACGGATCAACGATCAGCTAACGAGTAATTTATCGCTTCAGAATTCAAGGAGGCGTTTATGCTGTTTGACAAGGACGAGGATGGCACCATCACGATGGCAGAGCTCGGCGTGGTCATGCGATCGTTGGGACAGAGGCCGTCTGGTAAGTGAATGTTTAAATCGCTCGAAAAATGCGAATATTTGGAACAATGTCTGCCGCGTGTCGTCCACGTGTACCAAGGTAGATACGATCTGGCTAGAAGCCACGAGCTGACGAAAAGCTACCCACGTGCGGCCAAAAGATATAACGGTAATCTAAACCGCCAACTCAACCACCGTATTGTCTATTACCTATTAGCGCAAGAAGCACGTTCATGAAATTCTATACCAATTTTACGAGGCTGCTTCGCCTGGACGTTACGAGCTAGAACGTATGTACACGCCGCGAGCAATACGTTTTTATCCCTTTTAACCTTTCAAATATTTAAAACGGTTCTAATTGTCGCGATGAAACGATTCGAGTGGTGCTTAACGCTCGTGAAAATTTCAACGGAGTAAACGGTGACGTGGTTCTTAAACGTTTCTCGATTGTACGAGGGCAAAGAGACGGCATCAAAAGTTTCGAGCGGAACGCAAACTTTACGAAAGCGCTTCTCGCCAAATTAATATCCCAAGTGACAATTCGAAGATTTTCTAACATGACGAGAGTTAAACGATAGCAGTGCCGAAAACTAGGTTGCGACAAGAGCTTAGGGAAAATTACCATTCGGCCGATTCTAAGCTGCAAACTCTGATGGCTAGGCGCACGTGCAGACGCGCAAATTAACTGCGCGTCTAGATCTTCTGTCTCCTCGCTCCTCCACGGATCTACAAGGGAAATTAAATGTCTTGCATGAAACGACCACGAATGTACGTGTATTACATGCGGCGGCTAGAACGGGGGACACGGTTTAAACGACCATCTTTAATTCGCTCAACCGGATTATTCTTTCGCGCCAGGCGAATCCACGAATCTCATATCTTGCTAATTTCCCATTTTAGAAACGGAACTACGGGATATGGTGAACGAGGTGGATCAAGATGGCAACGGTACCATCGAGTTCAACGAATTCCTGCAAATGATGTCGAAGAAGATGAAGGGTGCGGATGGAGAGGACGAATTGCGCGAAGCATTCAGGTATCTCGAAATTCCGAAAGACAGTCTTCCTGCAGATGCAAAGGTGTAAGCATTAAAAATGGAATCGTTTGTCTGCCGTCAGAGTATTCGACAAGAATAAAGACGGCCTGATCTCGTCGACGGAACTGCGACACGTGATGATGAATCTCGGAGAGAAATTATCGGAGGAAGAAGTGGACGACATGATCAGGGAGGCGGATTTAGACGGCGACGGAATGGTGGATTATGAAGGTAATTTTTTATTCCAAGGTTACCTCATTAAGCATTACCATAATAAGCGCGACATTTAAAAAATTATCGATGGTGATATCTGCTAGTTCGAGATCACGGTAAATAGCTGTAGAACCGATGTAGCTATTGATAACGCTGTTCAACGCGAATGCGTAATCGAAATTGCTCCTCCAGCTTCAGTTTTCGAAAATTGTGAGTTTTTCGTTAAAACGCACGATTTTTGGATAAAATGAAGTATTACGTAAAAAGTGACAACATTAGCAGGTTCATTCTTATCTTTAAACTTAAGTTAGAGTATCCCGAGATTGTCAATGTGCATAATTATAATTATTTGTGTTTCTGAAGAATTATAAGCCGTCGTCAAAGTTCAAAAATAAGACACCGAGTACTTTCCACGCACCCTCTGCGTTTCTATAAAAAGTTCTTTATTCGGCACGAATTTCCTGTACAGTATCGTATTGTATAGGCTTTTCTGGAGAAAAAACCATGGAACAGAATTGTTGAAACAGTTTTCAATTCCATTAGGTGGATAAAATATTTGTCAGATACGCGTATATGGGGTTTTACCGCTAAGCAACCATTACTCGTTTCTCTAGCCTCGACAGTGCCGTAGCTATCCGTAACCGAGTTCAAAGGGACCTTTGAAAATTTACAAGATATGGAAATGTCTTAAACTTTGTGCGTAGCTCTTAGCTTGGTAACGTTTTTGACCTTTGAAAATTTACAAGATATGGAAATGTCTTAAACTTTGTGCGTAGCTCTTAGCTTGGTATCATTTTCAAAAGATTTGTCTTTGAAAAACGATACCAATTACCAGGTCTCACCACGTGGAGGTGGCTACGCATCGAGGCCCGGACATACGCCCTAATGGCGCAACCTACTGGTGCTATCCGTATCAAAGGTAGCCTAATCTAACTTGGGGCGAATTAAGTTAAAATGACTCTACTGACACTATCATATTTCGTGCATACAAAGGGGATTTCGATTCGGTATACTAAAATTGTCGCGACACTAAGATATATCATTTCTCATAAAAATAAGAAATCAAATATAAAAGACGCGAGCAAGTGAAAATTCGCGACGCGCACGAACGAGTTCGCGATTATTCGAAAGACCGACTAGCCTACGCAACGTACTCCCGTGCACAAGCCAACTCCGCGCCTCAGCACCCTCCCGATCGGGCCTTGCCCACCCTGCCACCGCCGACCTCGCCATGGCTTACTCGATGATCTAAGGCAGCTAACGAACAAGTGAAACACCCAGAGGCAATCCGAGGGTCCTACGCGAGGCCTAACAGACGGAATCACGCGCATGCTCCGTACCCCGGCTCTATGCAAACATAACCACATAGCCACCAAGTGCTAGAGGGGCAGGCAGGCACGCTCTTGCAATGATTCCGACTGCAGGGCCCATCCCCCGGTCGTGTGCACGGATTGGCACCCAGGACGACTAAGGTCGACGGACCCCCGTATTACTCCAGATGCCTCACCAACCCGAGAGCCACCAGAGATCCCGATGCATGACGAGATTGACAGTGGCAGAAATGAGTGTCGGAGACGAGTCGTGAGAATGACTTACGAGGCGTGGAGTTGACGAGTACACGGAAAGTACGCGCGTAGGCTAGTCCGTACTTAAGAACAATCGCGATTATCGCGAGAACAATTGTGTTCTATTTGGCAAACGAGAGGGATAAGAAATGTGTATATTCGCTCCAAGTTAGGTAGCTTACCTTTGTACGAATAGCGCGCACATGAAACTTAGCCTAGTGATCTACCTTATGATTACTTAGGTCTACTTAGGTCTAAACGCGCGCATCCTAAAATGAAAATATATATAAACCTGAAATGAAACGGATTAGTAAGAGAAAACAATATAAATATAAACCAGAAAGAAAAACCAAACGGATCGATCAACCCCACGATGAGACATGAACAACCCAACGATGAGATATAAACAAACTAACGACGAGACATTCGAATATTATACGAAATATTCGAATGCTCGAATAAAAATAAAATCTGACAAAAAAATAATTAAAACCTGAAATGAAACGGATTAGTAAAGACAAACAAAGGAAAAATCGAGAGAGCAACCCAACGATGAGAAATAAAGAAGCCAACGATGAGACATAAATAACCCAACGATGGGACACTCGAATATTATACGAAATATTCAAAATGTCAAATAAAAATAAATAGAAACGAAGAAATAACATCTGAAATAAAGAAAAATAATTAAAATCTGGAAAAACAAAAAATTATTAAAACCTGGAAAAAAAATAATTAAGAGCTGAAAACAAAAAAAAAAAAATGATTAGTAAATTATTTAGGGGGGTGGAGTGTAGGTGGGGTGGCTAGCCCCAACCTCACTTCGAACCCACCCCCTTCGCGCACACGAAAAATTTAGATGTTACACTCCCGAAATCGAACTGACAAATGAGTTTTGCTGCATCGCGTCGCCCCTTATATAGCCGCCGATCGGCCGAGTCCCCCCACCCCGTTCGAAAATTTTTGAACTTTACCGATTCAATTATTTATTATTTTTCCGCCTTGACAGCTGATAATTTTTTAATTTTTTCATTGTTATTACAAATATACGTTGTGTACAATTTATTCGTAACAATATTAATTTGTTATTAACAATCGGTGTAATAATTCATAAACTTTTTGTAAATTATAGGTATATTTTAACACAAGTATACGTCATAAATTGGAGTAATAGCTGCTAATTTATTAATTTTTTCTCTTTTATTATAAATTTGCGGGTAAACAATTTAGCTTATTTTATTTATAAACATGTGTTATAAACTAAAGCTACATTCACACTTCTACAGTGTAAATTTGCATGCTACGAGTAAGTACGTGAAATTATTTTTATTTCCTCTGTATTTTTGGCTAAAATGAAGCATTATACGAAGAGTAAAGATGTTAAAAGTTTCATTCTCATCTTAAATGTTAAGTGAACGATGATTTTGGTGGCATGACTATGACCCTGGTGAATCTAGATCTACAAACAATGGCTGCAAGGGTGCAAAATTCCGCTTACAGCTTGTCGATATATATTTTATCGACCTTTGAATATTGAACATCATTCTAATATTGTTCCTGGAAGGTTTCTTCTGTGGAAAAGCCTACATAATAATAAATTCGTGTCAGACAAAGACCTTTTCGTAAAAATGCAAAAACATGCGTAGAAAGTACAATCGGAGAGTTATTTTTAAACTTCGATGACCAATTATAATTATGGACATCGATAAATTCTGATTACTCTCACGTAGCTTGTAAGATAACAATGAAAAACTCACATTTCTCGAAAACTGTGGGTGATAGAGCAATCTCAATCTCAGATTCGTGTCAAGCAAAGAAAGGTCCACGAGAATCACCTATCGAGATGTTACAAATTAGAGAAAAAGTTCAAATTTGTTCGACAGTGTAATTCGTGTCTTTAAATGATATCTCGTACAGCGAATCGTCGATTAATTTCCGAAACGAATTAAATTTGCTTGCCCACGAAACTTTTTCGGTCGAAACTATGCAATATTTTCGCAGAATTCGTGACAATCCTGACGTCGAAGAATTAGTTCGGTGGCCATGGTGCGAATAAGAAGCTATCCAGCTGCCGGAAGTCTCCGTCGAAGAATAGAATCAAAATCGCTGATAAGTTCCTCCCAAAAATCGTAGCGAAATGGTCATCCTCTCGAACACCACCATCGAAGACATCGATGAAAAGTCGTGAAGCTAACGATATGGAATAGTTGTCGAGGGACTCTTTGAAGGTTATGAAACGAAAAACGCTATACCCTCGATCCAGCAAAGAGAACGTTTAAGCTTATGGTGCACGACACTTTCTCCGCATGAAAGTAAGTGATACCGAAAGACTGAAAACCGTGTCTTGAGCGGTGGAGTAGCGGGTGATGGGTGACACGCTGACAAGTTCCAAGGGAGACAGATAAGGGGAGAGAGAGAGAGAGAGAGAGAGAGAGAGAGAGAGAGAAAGAGAAAGAGAGATAAGAGAAACAGGAGGGTGACTTCCGCAGTTGCACACACATACACGCATACACACCTCGCTCCTTCGAATTAATTTTACAACTATAAGCTAGCGAAACGACATTATACGTGAAAACGAGTGAGGTGCTCGCTCCCGAAACAATCAACTGAGCTTCGTTTAGCGTTTACCTACCTACTACCTATACTCTCTATTAATGCTATACAACGTCGTTATTAATATTATTAGGAATCACTCGATCCTTTTCCATCCTTCACCGATTTCATTTACACGATACTTGTGGCATGACGATCTCGTAAATCGTTCAAACGCGAATCGCTATCGATGGCCTAAAGTGTACTCTAGGATCGCACGCAATGCTGACGCGACGTGGCATCGAATAGTACAAACGGTACTGGACCGAAGTGGTCTGTTTGTTACGCGAAAAATAATGCTCGTTGAGATAGGATTAACGATATCCGCGGAATATATCGTGAAACTAATTGACGACGTCCGATCGATATCGGTACGCTGGGATTGGAAGGTGGGATTCTTCGGATACACGGATCCACGGCGAAACGATCGAGACACTTGTCATCCCTTTCACTTCACTTCTGTCGTTCGATCGGTATTGTTCCTCCAATTTTGTAGATTCGCTTGTAAACGAGACGAATCCTGCCCCGACTCGTTGTTCCAGTCGAATTTCGGGTAACATTAACAGTCATTAACATTCTAGCCGCGGGACTCGATGCGAGATAGCTCTGTAACGACCTGTCTTCGAATTTAGATGAATGTTGTTGGCAAGTAGATTAGTTTTAACGGCGATATACTCTCGTGGCAGAATTTTTAGACGCATGTTACGGCGGGATGCCAAAAAGCAGTCGCTGGAAAGCAAGAATCAATGCAAACAGTAGCGAAATTTCCTTAAGTGTACAACACCGATCGTAGGATTTCTTCGGTTTTAGTTGCGAACCTTTTGTACCAGATTTTTTCCACGCTCGAAGAAAGAGCTGAGAATCTCGCGAGTGTTACCGCTCTTGTTGTTAGTCCCGATGCGAGCTTAGACCCTCACCTATGTCAGCTCTCCTTATACCGAACACCGTCCACCCAAAATCTCGACATTCGATCCCACCCACAGGCCAACCGTACTACGTCGTGCACCCTTAGATCCTTAAGATATGAAGCCACAGCCGTAGGTCGCGGTAGAGGATAGTTAATTAGCGCATAGAGGAAGTACGTACACGTAATAAATGATGCATTATACACATACCTATTATATATACCTATACATGGTGTTACTACCGAAGATAATTGAAGTAACGTTATTATGGATATTCATATATATTTAGTATATACTTATACATACATACATACGTACATATATTATATATACATATACACGTTAGCGACGTACGTCGGTGGTATACTGGCATTGATATTTTTATGGTTTTAAAAAAAATACAAGAAGAAGAAGAAGAACAAGTATTAGTGTCAGAAAGAGAGAGAGAGAACGAGAGAGCGAAAATGTGCGAGTGAATGAGAGAGAGAAATAGGAGTGAAAGAGAGCGAGAGAAAGAAATACCGGTTGGTTGGTCGAAGCGCGGAAGAGAAGCGCGTGTATATAATGAAACATTCAGGAGGGAGATGCGGGGAAACGGGATAAAATAATAAGAGCTCTTATAAGCGTATTACAGGCGATTCGTTTTATCCTTAATGAGTGTCGACGGATGGTATGCGAATATTACTATTGTTATCGTTGGTAATGTTGGTGGTAATAGTTGGAAGCGGTGATTTCACACACGTACACACGACATACACATAGAGATAGACAATAATTGTGTTTTTTAGTTAGGTAACACGCATATAGTTACATTGCGTTGTTCGGCTCGACCGCTGAGTAGGTAAGCAACGAGATTGCCAACATCGCGATACGATTTCAAGTTTCGGAAAGCTTGTCTTCGGAAAACTCCGCGTACTTGCCTAATTACGCGATCGTCCTTTTCGGTTGCCTCACGCCCCTGACCTACGGTGCAGAAAAATTCGAAAATAAAATCAACGAGATCAACTTCGTTTCTTTTATCGCTGATCCATTCCTTTGCAAAAGTCGACCCGAAGATTTAATCGCGTCACGCGTTCCTTCTCGGGTCGATGAAAAATTCAGTCGCAACACTTGTGTCGAAATTATCGTTGAATTTATGTTCAGGACCGTCCGACATCGGCGTGACGCAAAGCTACGCACAACGTAATTCAAAAAGCCGCGGGCTGTGCAAACTACAAAAGAGGATACAAAGAAACTATAACATGCAAACATAAAACAAGACGCTTTGACAGTTAAAACATAAAAAGAGCTCGATAAGTCGACACAAAATAGTAATGTATAACGTCCCGAAGACAATATCTTTAACGATTTTATTAAAGAAAGCTATTCGAGATTTACCTCGAGAGAAGGCCTACGTTTTGCCACGTGTGTCCGAAAAGATAGATTGTAGAGAGATTGTGAAAGAAAGAGCGAGAGGGAAAGGGGATAGGGGTGGAGAAAAACGATAGAGAAACGAAAAGTTTTATGATAGAGAAATTACGAGAAAGGTGCTGTTTAGCTTAGACACTGTCAATTTTCTTCTTCGGTCTATCCATTTGCTTTCGTCTTACCCTGGATTACTGCACGTTCCGTTCTATCCTGTACTTCGCGTGTCTCGGTTATTTCAATTTCCATGTTTTTATCCTCGATTCCGTTCATCGTACAATTCACGGACAATTTTATATTTCGCTCGAATGATTGCGACGAATGGGCCGATTCGTTTAGAATTACGACATGCACGAAATTTCACTGCACCCCATGAGTTTTTAGTTTCATTCTCCACCTTAAAAATGAAACTTATCGATAAGAGTATCGACAAATGCTGAACACAAGTACAAGGAATCGTCAATACCTGTATATATCTCTCCCGAAAATCGTTGCCGAGTCAGAGATCTTGAGGCAGGGACATGGAAGAACGGGGACAGGGAAAGAAGAAACTTGCAAATGTCCATCGGAAGTATTTTCAGTTCGCGAGGCGACACGAAACGCACACTTGTCACGCGCGCTTATAATAGGTACCTCTTTCATTAATACGAATCGCTGTTGCGGTCCCACGAGGTCTCTGACTGCACGTCCTTTTCTTTTTTCGAATCGATTACGTACTTGTCCCGCCATATATCCCCGTGGCAACAAATTTCCTATTTTTCCCCTCCCGCGATCTGCATTAATTCCGTTCTGCGAATATTCCCCGTGCAGATTCGTCCCTTTGATCAAACCCCGGAGCGCAGATTCGTCCCTGAAACATCGTTAATGTATTTCTTTTAAGCGGGAATGGCGGCAAGTAGAGATACAAACAGCCCTATCAGACAGAGTTATCATTGATTAATCGTACCGAAAAGTATTTTTATAGAATACTCTTCGAGCCAGATCCTAATGGTATATCGAGATACATACAACTTCGCATTATATTGTATTCTATATATTCTATTACATTTACGTCAATGTATACGTGCGTGTACAAAAATGTATATCGTATTATATCATCCTACTCTGCTGGCAGATTTCACTGTAGTTGTTACGCGCTTGGACGACGAGCCGAAAATGTTTGTATTCGTCGCGAGACGGCAATTATGCGTTAAATTCATTCTATAAACGTCCTTGAGAACAGTATGCAAGTCTTCCTTTTAATCTGCACTATTCGACGTTCGAGGATGTTTCTAGTATTTAGTTGTACGCCGTACGTTGCTGACTGCGCTGTGTCCCCTGAGGGTCTGTTACGTTTATGCGAAATTATTTTCGGCTAAAGTTACTCCACAGCCTACTCGACTCGATATTTTCCGAGTTTTTTAATACCGAACGAAGAGTCGAAACGTTGATTCGCCTAATCGTCGTGCAAATCTGTGGATCGGACCCGCGACACGTTAAAAGTGCAAACAAAAGAAGGAAACATTCGAAGACTAACTTATCCGAATCAGCCGTGTTTCGAAGATATAAAGGTTATATCGTAAGAATTTTACGTTTCTTTTATATCTGACAATTTTCTTTTTTTTCTTTTTTTTTTATGGAATCGCGAAAAGTTAGTCTTTGCTTGTTTTATTTCGTATCGATCCTCTGGTACTAATAAAGCTTGAGAATGACGCGGCAACGCGAGATGTTCAAGATAGATACGCTTGTGTGTTACGACTCGTATTATGAACTTGTGTCTATGTTTTAGATAAATAGTTTCGCTTACGTGGAAAACAAACGGACTGCGAGCGAACTAACGAAACGTAACATTTTCATAGACGTTTGATACGCGCTGATGAGCCCAGCCGAAGTAAAAATTGCTGTCGGGAGTTGCATAGGATCCTTTCTTTTGTTTATTAATTTCGTCTCTCCTCTTCCTAAAATCCTATGCATTTCTTCGAGTTTTCCACTTCGGTTGAACGCTATTGTTCTAAAGTTTGATACCATTTCTCAACGAATTTGTCGAATGCTCGCATTACATTATAAACAATGTCCGTAATCGAACTTAAGGAATGCGTGCTTGTGGCTTTTTACGAACGACCTCGAACGAAATTACGCGAAAAAATGATTAAGGTCCGCGTAAAACAAAGACAGGGGAAACGAAAATTATTTGACACGAAACGAGTTGAATGATGCAAAGGTAATCAAATGACTAAGTGTACATTGCTAGACATGAAAAAGAAATCTGATTAACTTAGGTGTATAATAATTATAATCGTTATAAATAAGTGTAACTATGTTGTACTAATCGCGAAAACGTCTCGTGTCTTATCAAACAACAGTAAGTCATACTGCTCGAAATATTTTGACTTTTGTCACAACGAGACGATCTTTCGGATTGGTTGTTTGTTAGCATAATCAAATATATCTATGTTTTTCATCCGTTGGCTGTCGTGAAAGTATCCGCGCTTCGCAATGAGATCGAGAATAATCATGAACGACTTAAAGACAAGTACGGTGGTTAAGCGAACTATTCGCAACGATTACGTAAATCAATGCGTTCAGATACCGATTGCATCGTTGAAGCACGAGAAATTTATAATTCGTTGATCAGAGAAAAAGATTTGGTACAGTATCGGTAGAGTTTGGTATATAGTTCGGTACGTAAGAACGGCCACATTGAAGAGCAAATTGCATTAATCGAATTGTCAGGAATGGTGTCAGAGACTTCCGAATGATACTCAATCATCGCATCGCAAATCCTTTGATTTGCCGAGATTACGTTCGCGTACGAAATCAATACAATGCCTTAACATCTTCGTGCGTAAATTCTGCGACATCTAAAGAATATTTCGCAATAAAACGAGGAATTTATTCTTATTCCTGTTTGATTTCGCTGTTAGTTTATAACGTTTATCGAGCAAAATGTAACGTTTACAAGAAGAAAGATGGAATTTCGAAGGAATTTCCTTAGATGTCCGGATATTGTACGCATTGTAATTCTTCCCTCGTACACTCGCTACTGTTATCTCATATTTTTTGTTCATTTCGCCTAACGTAAAGCGATCTAACATAGTAAGCATTGCAGCTAGGCAATCGTTATCGTTAAAACTACGACCCAAACACAATAACGGTCAAGAATAATTATTGTAATAAGAAAACGTCTTTCATTACTTTATTAAACGATCGCGAGTACAAGTCGTGTTAGTTAAATGAATATACGTGTGTATATCCAATATAGGGCAAGTTGAAGGGAGACCCATTCGGTAGGTCTTTGGTTCTTCGTGGGGTGCAAATAACTTTAGAGGATACGGCGTGGGGATGTGGATAAGCTCGTTAAGCTGTAATAAGAATGAAAATTATCTTCGAGATGTATTAAAAAAGAAAAAAAAAAAAAAATAGCGTAAAAACTAAGTCAAGCGAGGTTACACCAGAGATATCGCACTGTGAATGAGAATATTTATATTTTTACTTGAGAAAATGTTATAATAACGTTTGTAATGTCTAATTCCCATCCGGTAAAGAATGTTTATAACGTTATTTTTCTAGAGTATATATCTAAACACTTATTATTGTGTTATGACGAAACGTGCTCTCAAGCGACAGGCAGGCTTGATCTGTTATAGATGCAATACGTATATTTACTCATGATAAGTATTGCGTTTGCTTCGATTATTTCGTCATCTTTACAATTTCTCTATAAGTAGCGTATATGTATACCAATGTTACATGTATAATAGCTCTTATTGAACTCTAAATCTTATCGCGAGTGCTCACGAGGAATGTGCACATACAAGAATACAACCAATGTGTTTCTCGCGGTGTTCATTACAATTTTACTACTGTAAATATTATTTACATTTAAGTTCGAGAAATACGCGAATACCTCTTACTAATTGAAACATTGATGGCCATTGTTTATCGCTGCTAAATAATACTTTTTATAAACTTACGATAACTTTAAAGTGTCTTAATTCACGGTCAGTGACTAATTTTGTTCCAACGTTAAACGATTGTATTACAAAAATTGTTTAATTAAGCTATTTTAAAAGGCGGTAAAATTGGCTATCAATACGTATAACAGAAAGCAAAGAACATTGTAATATAAAACAAGCTCTTTCCTTTCGCTTTATACTTTTATCGTTACTTTCGCTTGAAGGCGATTGGGACAGTAAAAGAAGAGAACGCTTTCAGTTGGTAATTTAAAATATTATTACGTGTCGTTTAACTTTTTCCGTCAATCTACTACGACCATTTATTGAAACGTTCCTTTATAACTTGATAGAAGATAATTTGTTCTCTAACTGCGGTACCTGCGATTGATGGTTCTTACTCAGATTTGCTCCACTCACGTTTCGTCGTAAAGTGGAAAAAAAAAAAAAAATCGGAAGTGCTGGAAATTGTGGCGAGAGTGCAGTATGTATGGTGTTAGCTGTATGAAATCATGTTACGTGTAATGTTATGTACTGTAAGATTAGAATACATCATAAAATGGTGATGGCGTGTACTGCTGGAATGTAATACATGTATCGAGTTATCCCTAAATACAGCCATTTTATAATGGATAATTTATTCGAGGTCTATTCTCCTCTCTATTTTCACCTGTAGGGTATAGAAACGAAATATAAAAGAACAGAATGCCCAGGCATAATAATTCAACAGAGATTATAGATGTCTGACTTAGAAATTGTTTATTAACAGAAATATTAATACCATCATCCATACAAATTAGCTTCTTAGGAGTATCTTAGTATTATGCTACATGAAATATTATTACTCTTACTCGTACTCAAATATTCCAAATATTGAAAATCGTCGATGTGTCGATTCTAAATGATACTTTACCCAAGAAGCGATATTTTTTAAATGAAACAATCAATTTCAAATTTTCACTCACTCACGCGCTAGCTACTATCGAAAATCGAACGCGATCGAATGATTCCCGCGCATTTCACTCGTTAGCGTTCTCGAACATACTCGCGATCATGTGCTGCGATTTTACGTTGTGCTAAAGAAAATTTTGAGGAAAGTAATTAAAAAGTATGAAAATCTCGTTAACTAGGAATTAATCTGAACCAAGAAGCATAAAAGAACACGGGACAAAGGCCATTATCGCAGCCATGACGTCAACAGTACATTTGGTAGTGTAGAACTTAAGTTTGATTATACGAAACCATATATTACAACGTTTTACCTATAGTTGCATAATTTCTTTGCTCTTTCTTAATAATATTCTATAAATCGTATTACAAGTTGAGATATAATATCTATTACACGAATATTGACACTGGGAGATATTAAGATCTCTGGCGTTCGTTTGTAGTTCCGTAAAGGATTATTACCGTTTTTATATTCAATAAGAAAAGAAAGATAATACAAAAAGCACGTGTTATGTAAAAATAGAATAAAATCTATTATTTCCTGTAATGAAACCCATGTAAAGGTTTCGATTATATATATATACCGCGGATAATTTTTTACAGATTAGAGGTTAGATGTAAGTATATAACATTTGGTAGAAATCCGATTACTTTACGTTAGAATTATATACTTCTTTCTTTTTCTTTTAAATTATGAGTATGAAATTATTTTGTAATTTACAATAAACTAAACAATTCATTTTGTGACAATACTGTATAAACAATTACAAAAATGTTATCGCGACTATAACATTGATTAACATTTGAATTCAATAATACAACGAATTTGGATTTTATCAATGCAAACAACTGTAAATAACTAACAAATTGCATAACCAAAGTCATACAAATTTCAATATATTGAGTTAGCTGAACTATATCATTATAGCTCATCCTTGAGTAACGAATATCTGTTTTTACTGGGTGCAAGTTTCTTAAATGTAGACTCTGGCGGGGTTGTAGGTACCTTGATTTGTCCAACAATTTGCGCTACTTCATCACTGCTTGAATCTGGTCCATAATGAAACTCCCTATGTAACTTTCCTGTATATAAATCTTGTAAGAAACTTTTCAGTTTTCCTTCTACATGAATATCATGGAAATTTGGGAACAGGTACATATGTTTAAAACTATCTATGGCAATTAGAGGTAAATCCGCTGGAGTTTTTCCTAAATGATGGAGAGGATGAGCAAATTTCACACCGTCTGCAGTCAAGAAATTTACATTTTCTGAAATAAAATAAAACGTTATATTCCTTTCGAACTAAATCTCCTTAGGTATCCAAAACTCATATTTTACTCACGTTTTTCATCGATTAATGTCCTTGTCACTACATCTTTATACATTTTAACACTTTTAACATCATCAGGAGCGTGAAATAGTATGAGAAAGGGTAAACCTTCTTCTGTTAATTCCTCTGCATTTTCAAACGTGATTTCCCTAACAAGGGGGACACACTTTTCTTGTGCCTCGGAAGACAACTATAGGTACTCCTGGAGGGTGCATAGCTCTGCTTGCATTCCTAGTTGTATTTCCAATATTTAAAAATTGTTCCTACTTTTCATTTATATAGCTTTATCAACCATGACATATTAAGATCGCAAAGTAAAATACTTAAAAAAGGTTAAACATTTTCTAATTAAACAATTAAAAATATTCATGGGTGCTTATCAGGCAAAAATACGGTATTAACATAGAAAAGAAAAGAGACATTACATTTACAACAATCTTCTTGCAATAATGAAAATAAAGATAGTGCTATTTATACCATGCTCAACATCTTACTTACAAAAAGTGGAAATGTTCCCCAATTCCACAGTTTTGAGCAGAGCATGTGCTTGTTAGAAAAAACAGTGGAATAGTTATATTTATTTTGTAGAAACATTAAAGGAAACTTCTTTGGGAAAGATGAACAAACACATTAATTATCTATATTATTCTAATAGATTTCATTAGAATACTTACCCAAAGCCAACATGAAATTGACAATCATCCTTAAGTTCAAAAGCAACTCTTCTAAATATGTTATATTCTGGAACATTCTTTGTATCAAAATATCCAATAATCATTCTTTTTTTATCATCTAAATTATTTAATTCCTTTAAATCATAAAATTCCTTAATAGGATCCTCCAACTGTTTCTTTATAAATTCTTCAAAAGCTTCTACAGACCGCTGACCTCTATACTCCCGTTTAGTTGTTTGGCCATGCCTTATAAGTTTTAAAGTTGGGTATTTAGTGATGCGATATCTTGTAGCAATGGGGGCTAAAAGGTAATATTCTGTTTAGTATTAAATTTCACATATGTGTTACTATAACATTATTTCAATTTCATATATTTATTTCTTTCAATTCTGTTTACTCACATTCTCTTTCACAATCTACTTTTGCCAGTACTATTCTTCCTGGTTCAGGAATAGAATTTCTTATTTTATTCGCAGCCTCTTCAAAAATAGGTGCTAATGAATTACTAAAACGACACCATTGTGCATAAAAATTTATAAATACCAATTCATGTGTTGCTAGAATAACATACAAGAAGCAATATTTACCATACTATATAATATTATCTGTAATAAGTAATATAGATTATAATTATGTATTTTATTTAGAATTTGACTTACCAAGCGTTGAATTAAGATTCTGTTGGGTAAGCGATAACGCGCCTTCGCCTTCATTTGCTAAATTGTTTGGCAGAAATGCCTAAAAAATGAAATACTTAACAGTTTTATGATTTATGAAATATACCTACAACGCGAAGCGCATTAAAATAATACGCGAAGCGTATTAAGATGTCGTAGCCCGTGAAATTTCGGGACACTTAACGTATAATAAGTAAATAAAATAATTTAAATTGGGAAGGACAGGTTAAAATAACAGGAGTGGATTAAAAATTATGTTTTTATTTCCAGTATGATCATTTCGACATTTTCTTTTCTTTTTTTTTTCATTCAATTCAATGTTTTTACTTGATTTAAATCGATGGCTTTAAATTTGAACTATCCACAACAAATGTGTATAATCCCTCGATTTATTTTCAAAGAGTTTGTTTAATCATTTTTTGAGGTTATTTTATGTGTACGTGTACAGGTTATGCCACTATAAAGACAATAAAATTAGATTCGGTATCATTAAAGTCATTCCAAAATTAATGGGTTACAATAGCGGTCAACGGACTTTCTAGAATTTGTAGGTTCTGAAATACGTGTCACAGAGTACGTGTCATTGACGGTATTCAAAAATTTGTAGCACTGCTTGACAAAATAATACGATACATTATTTTAATCAGTACTTACCAATAAACAGGCAAGTAGAAGTATTTTGAAATCAAAAATATCACAGAAGACCAACATATTGTGATCTTATAATATAAAATTGATCAGGCAATAACTTTTTGAGTAACCATCAGTAAGCAGCTTCCTTTGCGTCAAATGCCACGAATTTGCGGTAAATCGAAGCCTAGGAAAATATTCTCGAGGCATCGATTTAACAGGGATGGCAAAGGTGTTATATAAATTCTCTATGTAGAAGTTGCACCTGTCTCTTTTTTCTTTGTTTAATTTGTGTATGCTATCGTCGGGTCTCGTTCTAATACCTATCTCGTATCGCAATATCTCTATTTCCCCTAGCTAGTGTTTGCAATTCTAGGACATTTCATGGTATCGCAAACATAACTGTGGTATTTTCCTGACAACCAGCCAATCATATTCCTCTACGTTCAAATGTATAACGGTTAAAATTCCCTAGATGGTTTGTGTTTGTGGCGGGAGTTTATTTCTTGTGTTCTGTTCAATGTTAAACTAAAAAGCTGGGATTGAGGCAGTTTCAAAAATAAATATTGATCAATTATCGTATAAAAGTTCATTTCAAAATAGTTACGAAAGATCGAATTATGTTATAATTGTTATAATAGTGAAAATTCTTATATATGTCAATTCTTGTCATCTTTCTACTATATACTACTAGTATACATATTGGTATAGATATTAGTATAATACTGGTTATCGTTCTAGTATTTAATATATATTACATATTTTAATTATACATTATAGGTACGTATTAATACGTATTAATATAGTATATGAAATTTTTCGTAAAGTATTTTATATTTTACGTCAAATTTTATAGATCTATGATCTACGACAATTAAACCAGAAATTATTTTTCGTACTGTTATATACATACAAAATTATATAGCGATTCTAGACAGCCGGGAATATTACTTACGACTTACAACGGTCATTGCAAAGTGGCGGAATTGCATATTATCAATGGGAACAGATACCATTGCTCGACGAGTAATTTTATACAAATTTTTACAAAATTAATAATATTCAACGAGTTACCGTTTAATTCATGTTTTCGAGGTTTGAAAAGAACATTAAAAATTTCAAATAAATTGCAAATATCGTATATTTAATACATAGCTCTTAGCTTGGCATCGCTTTCGAAAGAGAAATCTTTGGAAAACGATGCCAATTACCAGGTCTCGTCACGTGGAAGTGACTATACATCGGGGCCCTGGTCTTAAGGCCCCTAATACATTAATTGCCCTATTGGGGCATTCCGCGTCAGAAACGTTAATGTAACATACAGCAAACCTAAAAAAATGAAGTTGCTCAAACTTTATTAGCATTGTCCCAAAGGTGTACTAGATTTTGATACTCCACTTTCGTAACACTAATATCTTTCGTTCCGAAAGATTCTTACGTGATTTTAATCCAGTTCAAAGAAAATATGAAAGTATGGAAAGCGCGAGCAAGAAAGAATTGAAATTAAAATCGCAAGGTGCTCGAAACAAACGGGTTCGCGATTGTTCGACTAGCCTATCTAATGTACTCCTGTGTAGAAAATAACTTCTTATTTTAATACACTTTGCCAATCGATTTTCACTCAACTCGAGTGACTGTCAATTCCGACATGTTTTACACTAGATCGATCATATATCGTCGAATCAATGATATTCGCAGCGACAAATAGGGAGGCCCTAGAGCGACTTAGTAGCTGGATGCATCGTACCCCTGTTTCATGGGGTAGAAACCAATTAAGGAACCATCTTATGAGGTCTAACCGCAGACACGTTATACGAGTCTTTAAGGGCCCCGTACCCCGCCGAGTACGCACAGGTAACCAGGTCGACTAAGATAGATAGATCCTCACCTTGACACCGAACCATTATCAGTCTGATAACGTATCGACGGATTTACAAAAACATGGTGTTATCAAGTGTGAAAAGCGTATCTCGCGAAATAATTATATCCAATAAGCGGCAGGGAGGAAAGAAAAGGAAGGATTTGTTTTTTAAGGATTTTTATGTTTTTGTAGTTAGTACTAGTTAATTTGTCCTCTCAGTCACATCTTCAACCGACCGTGATGAAGGTTTAGACCCGTTGTATCCAAAATTAAATCTGTAAATGAGCTTGAGCTGTTGTGCTGCAACCTTCATATATCACGATCATTATCGATTCCATTACTAATTACTGTCCTATTATAATAGTCCATGATTTATTATAAATTTACACTCTCTTGTTATAGACGATATTAACCCTTTGCACTCGGTGATCTTTTCGTTACAGAACATAGTAATTCGAAAACTTTCTGCCATAAAGTCGACAATATTTTCAAAACGGTAAATAAAAGGTGCAAATTAATTGTAAGACGTAGAATTATTTTACCTAGATATTCCACGCATTGTTGGGCAATTTTAAATTCGAGATATTAATTAATAATGATGTTTAGAATTTGATTAAATGGTGATTGAGAGTCGCCTCTCGAGTACAAAGGGTTAATATATTATCGACAGATTTAAGGATTTAAATATTTTTGCAAATTAATCTGTATGTTCGCTGTGCTAGGGTATTTGTGATATATCTATTACCTTTTCTGATTTTCGAGAAAATTTCAGTAATTTATTAATTATGCCGTTGATTTATAAAAGCTCCGGCGCTTCGTATTATAAACCGAGAAAAGTTCAATATATTTTTGGAAACGTTAAAAGTAATTTCTATGGGAAACCTCTGGGTTTTTCTCCTTCGCAGCCGCAACTATTTAACGTTTCCGTTTATTCTTCCTTTTAACTATCGAAGAACATAGGTTTTTCAAAAGATGGACAACTGTCCTTTCGACCGCAACAAACTTACCTGTAAAAGGATTCGTCGCGAAAAGGGCAATAAAACAATCATATATCCGTAATCTCCGTGTAAAAGCGAATTATTGGCCACATAGAAAGCAACAATGACGTTTGCCGGGTATCTTGCCACGTTGTACAATCATGACTTCACGAATCCTCCTACTTCCCGACGAAATTTCAATGTTCAGGTACACCTGGGTGAATCCTCGGTCCTCAGCGATATAATCCCCATTGAACGAGTACGAGGGCTCTCTAGGCATGAACTCCAACAATAATTTATGACTACACGAGACTGCAGCGAAACGCTCGAACGGAGTATACTGTCGTGTAAGCCACGGCTTAACCGTAATTTACAACAAAATCCAATTTTCCCGATTCTACGTTTATTCTGCGGATCTTTCGGGTTGTCCGGCTGTGAACTCCCTAGACTGGGGACTTTTTCGATCAATTGTAACTTACGTTAGTCGAACGTTTGCTGTTTCTTCTTATAAAATTAACCCTTTGCACTCGACGAATTTTTCGTTACAGAAAAATAGTAATTCGAAGGCTTTCTATCGTGGAGTCGACGATATTTTTGAAATGGTAAATGAGAAATCATATGCAAATTAAGGCATAGAATTATTTTTCTTCGATATACCACACATCGTTAGGTAATTTTAAATTTGATATATTAATTAACGCCGATCTTTAGAATCTGATTAAATGGTGACTGAGAGGGTTAATACGTATCTACATAGATGAGAAGTCAGGCCAAGTTAGATTAACACGTCTGATTGAATAGGCAGTACTTCCATAGCGCGTAATCCTGATCGTCCGTGATAAATTGGCACAACGTAGATTCTGATTAACTCAAACGTGTCACGGTGACACTTATTTGCCGGCATTCTTTGATACTGGATCGGGTGCACCACTGGATACTAGTTGAACAAACGAGTCTGTTGAAAGATAAAACCACACAATGCGCCACAGGACTCTGCATCCGACAATATTTCTTTTCCGAGAAAAACTGACGCGACTTTGAAGGCGGCACTGACCTTTGCTGCGACAAAACGTGCCGACTTTTCTTTAAGAACAAGAATATTCCAGCCTATACACCATTCGTAAAGGTGTACGTAGTATTTGGTGGAATGTTTTATTTTTTAGTTATATTTAAAACGTGGATAAACTCGATTCGATTTAGATAGATCTTTTGTGGCGCATCATTTGCCATGTTTTGCAAAGATTGCGTAGCGAGGCACGAGATATTCGCGAAGTCGTTAATTTTATACCAAAAATCTTTTACGATGCTACTTGGAAGGACGTGGGTTCGCGATTCTGCAAAGAAGCAATTATCCATTTTAATTCCTCGTCGACTTGACACGGGGTGTACACGGATGTGCTAGACTGTTTGATCAGTCCGGGCATCGGTGTAGTCGTTTGGGTTTCTTGCGATTCGTTCTCAAAGGTTAGCACACAAATCATATTCAGTCGGTCGTGGTCTAGAATTCTTCTTTTCCTTTTTAACTTTCGGCGATCCTGGCCTATCGTCCTCGGACCCACACCCTTGCAACAAAAGCGGTCGGCACGATTGAGACAATAGAGAAACCACGACTTGCTCCCTGCTAATTAAAATCTATCGGTGAAAGATGAGCCGACGAAGGGTAAACGTCGACTCATTTTTTTTCCTCGAAACACCATTGCTTTTCTCCGTGGTGTCCCTTTTGAACCTTACGCCGGCCATTTTAGCTCCTAAAACTGGATTTTTAACTGGATTAGCGGTCGATTGTACACCGTTGTTAAACATAATGAACGGATTATCTTCGTACCTTCCGTCTCTACGGCATTTCCCTGTTTCTACAGAAAATTACTTCTGGTTTTAGATTGTATAGCGTCATAATATTTGGTTCACCCCCCGTCGATCACGGTTAATAAGATATTCCGAGGTTATCCGTTAATCTTTATATCTCATTATTCCTCTTTGCTTGGAAACTTTCTGTTAGTCACCTGGAAATTTTCCGACCCTGACTCGTGAACTGGCACAACAGCCTTTGATTCGGTACGATCACAAATGCCGAGTTGCGTAATGAATCCGCGTACAATGTGACGGCTTCCTTTGAACGGTGGATATTCTCACGGGTTCCATGGTACCCTCTGATTCTAGTTCTTATTCTGCCGTTTCTTTCCTTTTTTCCTTCTTTCTTCATCTCAAACGCAACAGGTCGTATTGTGTCGAGGGTGTCATTCCCTTCGAACAGGATTGGCGGGAAGACCCCATCGGCTCGATTCTTCCGTCTCGTCTCTAGGACGAAACACAAATTTATGGACTAGGGATCGACGTTTTAGAACAGGTACCATCTTTTCCCTTGTTCTCGCACCTTGCGCGTCCTTAATTCGTTCCCTCGGAAATGTACTTTCGGCACCTTTGTTAATCCGCAAGCATGTATTATTATAGAAATACTTCCGCGTAGGTAACAGAACTTCCGTATATATTGTGCATAATCCGATCTTTTTTCTTATCAATTACGAACGCCGGCCATCTACCAGTCTTTGTTTGTAAATGATCCGTAATAAATGATTATCATAACGCGACTAAGGGAACATCCTTATACGCTACTAAAACTGTTTTCTCTTCGGCAAGTGATTAATGACGAAGCACTGTTTGCTATCCATTTGTCTGAACCTGACCAGGTCAGAACAACGAACCCGCACGCTAATCGGACTGTAAAACGTTATGAGAATCGGCTCAGATAGAGGGTATAGCTTATAACGTAGATCTAATTCCGCTATTAACCTTCCGAGAAAAGGGTACATAATAGAAAAATGAAAATTAACGTCGGCAGGTATAAACTCTTTACATTGACTTTGTAAATATTAGCCGTGTGTACTCGTCAAATATTTAGCCATAGCCAGGTAACGAGCAACTCGAGACCACTTTATCTACAGTCAGAAACTGGTCTGTTTATGTACAAGATCACCCAATGATATTTAGTAAATTCCGTAATCTCTTGTTTACGGCCTCGTAATCCTAACCCGATTAGCACCGATGTATGAGTTGGCGGGATAGATCCGACTAATCTTGTTCCGTGGCAAGGTACACGAACCGATCAGCCTCAAATGGGCTTTCTTCCTTTACAGAGAAGTCGTGAGCGACCACGTTACGCCGATCATCGTGTGAAAACTGCAAAGTCTCGCTCCATTAGCTTCGAAGACTAGTCCCATTGTCGGGTCTATTGTCGGGGAACGTGGCCCTCTCTTTCTCTGTCTCGTTTCTCCTTCGCTATCGTCTATTTCGTTTTTTTTCTCTCTCCCCCTTCCCCTCCGCCGTCTCTTCAACGTTTTCTTCCAGATCCGAGCATAAGTTAGAAACCCGTCAAGACTAGTGACCTGCTGATCCCGATGATGCCTCCTTCGGCCAGGTAAATCGCGTATAAAATTGACCCGTAGCAAGGAAGAAAAGGTTCGACCCTTAATGACGTCTCGGCGAACGGACCGTCATCAGGAAAATGCCTTCGAGTCATCATCTAGCGTAAAGATGCCATTCGGAATTTCACGAAACGAAGGAAAAGGAATTCTCGGAAGGAATAAGGAGCAAAACCGTCGCGTTAAACGCGTGTCCTTTATTAAATTATTTTATTGGCCACTATTGCAGCTATTCTCTTAATCCTTTGCAGCGATGCCCGATCGAAACTTACGACCACCGATTTCCAGCAAACTATAAAAATTTCTGAGTTACGGTAAACTGTAGGAAAGCATTTGCTTTTCAGGAATATTAGTTCCCGTAAACGATAGCTCACGATAATGCGCTCTCGAACCCACGGCCTCTTACAAAAGAGCGCCGAAAGACTGTTATAGCCCAAAAGAAATATGTTACGAGACTTCCCGTGTCCTTTTCGTGTAAAATAACGCCGCCAGGCATTTCCTTAACCCATGCGAGTATCTCGACTCTTTGTGCAATCGATAACTCGAGGATATCGGAAAGAGAAAAAGAAAGCAAAATAGAAGCCGCTGTTTCGCGTGTGCATAAATCCGGGAAGTATATGAGAAATCGGTGGACAGATGATTTCTTATTGCGGATAGAAATCTGACCTGCGTCGTCCTTCCGATTTGCATCGGTCCATCGCTTCTGAATGTCTCCCGAAAATGCGCGGCTTTCGCAGAAACATCGAACGTCCCAACGAATGCACAAAGCGTACTTTACACCCCCGCAGTTCTCTCCGTTTACCGATTGGACACACCGTACTACGTTCGCATTGCAGCCTCGTTCGTCGTTTCTTCGATGACCGATCAGAGAATCGTATCTTTCGGAAAGTGCTAGGTGTCCGAGTTTTTCGCAGATCAGCGGTTTCGAAAATCGCGAAAGGCGCAAAGGATATCGAAGATCGCGAGTGTCTTTTCTCCCAGTGTAAAATGTTCAAAGATGAGGATCGAAGGATGCAAGGAATTTTGTCTGGATGAAAGATAATCTGTAAAGGTGGAAAGAATTTTGGAAAAAATCGTCATTCCCCGAGGACGATCGTCTACGTGGGAGTACTGTTTACCGGCGGAGCAATTTACCCCTGGCCGAGACGTTAAGCGGCTTATTAGGGGACAATGGTTAGCTCGAGCAGAGGAAAGTAAAGGGTTGCTCGGGGCGTGCCCCCACCTTTCACCCTTCTACTGCGACATCGTCGCAAGATTTACGACTGCGTTGCAGTCGCAGTTCTACCAGCATTCGCTCGGACATATGTCAGACAGTACCGTCCAATTTCCATGCTTTTCGTAATCCTGCCAATACTATGCTTTCGATGAATTTGACAAACAACGACAAGTCCCCAGAGAGTCCGCTTGTGGTCACTGCAATATATTCTAGAAGATCGATGGACTGGCTTGTCTCTACGCACACGTGACGTCAGATGATATTTCCTACACACCGGAAATTGATAATCTTTTTCCGGTATGCGCCTGATACATCAGCGAAGCGTTTAATGTCATTGAAACTTGTCCGTGTTGTTGCAACGACTTTATCGGGATTGAATAAATAACACACAAAAATAACGTAGGACCTATGGACTCGCGATAAAACTTGAATATTTTCGCACTCGATCCGAGATTTGCGTTGCTTCGCAGACGCACGACACTTGGCCCGATAACGATGTCCTTCGTCAATTGCCGAAGATACCGAGGACGATGCCACCGAGACAAGATGTTCTTTCAAAGCTGAGTAAACAAGATTAGAGGGAAAGATCATTGGATAAAAATCCGCCGAGTTTATCGCGTGTTTGCAGCGATTAGGAATAGAACATTGACAGCGAACGGGAGGTTATCAGATCCGGGAAACATGGTTCTTTAGAAAAGTTATCTTTCACGTGCCAAGTGCAACGATTTATTCCCGTTGCTGCACCGGCGGATTTGTCGCGGTACCTGCCGTAGATTCCCATCGGCATTGTGCGTTCGGA